ACGGGCGGCGGGGCCCGGCGCCCAAGGCCGGGCGATGGGACCCTGCCGGCCGGCTGCCCCGCGCCCTGCCTGGCCCAGCAGCCAGACGGGCTGGAGGGGATGCACTGTGCAGTCTGGCTCTGCTCCGCCCTGCCCGGCCCTAAGGCTGAAAGTTTGGGGGTCGGGAGCCGCACCCCTCCAGTGCCAGTGACTACCGAAGGACTCCTGCTGCCTGGCCTCGCCCGCGACCTGCCTCCATTCCCCAGGTCGGAATGAGCTACCCTAAAGCTTTCGCTCTCCGCCCCTCCCTCATCCTCCTTTAAAAAGATATTTTCTTAAATCCAAGAACTCGTGATCCACCGGTTCCGCTCGTCCGTAATTTATTTATACCCTAGGCCTCTGAGTTTAAGAGGGGGTGCGGTCTGTCCCCCAAGGCGGCACGCTAGAAGGACAGATTCCCCCTTGCCGACCCACTTACACCATGAAGAGGTGCAAATCTGACGAACTGCAGCAACAGCCGGGCGAGGAGGATGGGACTGGGTTGGAAGATGCGGCTGGCCACCTGCCGGGCGCGGACCTACGGCCTGGGGAGGCCTCCGGTGCTAACTCCGCTGGCGGGCCAACTTCAGATGCTGGTGCTGCGGTGGCAACCAACCCAGGTCCCCGGAGCAAGCCTCCTGATTTAAAGGTGAGCACAGATGGTCCTCAGGCAAGCCCAGCCCGCCACATAGCTTTCTCCACACCATGCAGAAGTGTCTTAGCGGAATAAAAGTGATTGGGAAGCCCGCAGAGGTCAGAAAGGATGAGAGATGCTCGACTGGGACCAGAGGGGGAAGTCAGGTACAATCTGTGCTTGTCTGTTAGCTCCATTTCAGGCCTCTGTGTTCTTCGTTATTCAGCAAATGTACTAATGACTCACTCATCCGAGACTGTTTGAATAACGTGTGTGAAATGCTATTTGCAGACAAAGGGCTGGAGAGATCTAAGATGCTCACCAAAAAGTTAACATTACTCTTCCTCCTGTAAGATAGCTGCGGAAGAAAATTGCAGCCGAGGAGGCCAAATAGGTGACCATCATCTTCCCAGCCCACTTAGCCTCCTCCCAGAGGGATTTTTGGGTGCCTTCCTGGGTGAAGCTCAGTTTGTCCATCTATGAAAGGGGGATGTAGGTTTCTTGCCATTAGGTGGAGCCAGAGGTTAAGCTAGTGCTTGGAGATCTCTGCCTACTGAACCAACCCCCGAGTGGAGAACTGACAGGTGGCAGAGCAGTGCTGGGGCTGGTTGGGCCCTCGGTTCAAGTTGCACACATGCTGAGCCGGCAAGAACCAGAATTGGAAAGAGCCGTTCACATGGACCTGTTTATTTTCCAGCCTGAGGTCTTTGAGACAATTGGAGATCTGTATTGAATATAACTGTCGATCACAGCAGCAGCCAGGATAAATAACGCCCCTTTGCTGGAGTTGCCACCAGGACTGCCAGCTGAGGCTCCTCACCAGCTCACAACTGGGCTGAGCGAGATGTCAGCCCCAGGAAGGATCTTAGATGCCTTGGGGATTCAGGGTCTGGGCCAGGAGAGCAGAAAGAACTCCCATTAGGTTAAATAGAGCCTGTAACCTATGGCAGTGAGCACTGAGGAGCGCACCAGAATAAACCAATGACATTCCTCATTTGGTCTGAGCAACTCAGAGTCAGGAAGTCAGGTGAGTGAGGGTGTTCCACCCATATGTGTTCATTGTCTGTGTTCCTTGGGGGAAGGGACCCCCTCACTCATTACGCAGACTTAAAAATTTCTGTGGAAGTTCTGCAAATCTGACCTCTTGCTCCCCGGCCTTATGTCTAAGGATGGAGTCTGTTGAATGTTGAGGCTCTGTTCACAAAGCTGGTGATATCATCAGGCCCCCAAAAGTGTCACCCCTCCCCCAAGTCTGTCTTAAGTAAGATGGCAAGCAGAAACGCTGCTAAGGGAAGTAGGGGGCAAGCCTCTGACAGCTGAGGTATGGGGGCTAAGTGTCTCTATGTCTGCAGATAAAGCTGCTTTAACCCTGCTTGTTTCCACCTTCTTGTGTTGTTTTTTCCTCTTTTTCAGTGAGACTCTCATTCTGGTTAGGGGCAGATATAGCAACAACTCTACACTTTATATTAACTGATAAACTGTCCTGAAAGAGAATTAAGAATTGAGGACCCCTCACCTCCATTCCCCCCTCTCCACCCAGCCCAGTAGTGTGGACCCAAAAAAGGAAAACACAGAGCTCATGGAAGTACATAGTGCCTTTCCTGTTTATCTCTGTTTGCTTCATCATAACATGTTTACTGCAGGACACAGACTTCTTTATCACATATGATTTGGACCAGCACAGTTTGATTCACTGTTTGGTCTTAGGTAGATCACTCAGCTTTGTTGAGGAGAAAGACAAGGAATATTGGAATGTGGCCAAACTTGTTTTCCAGTGCTGGAAAAGTTTTCCAGTGGTGGAAAAATTTCATCATTGTCTCTGGAATTGGATGGAAGTTGACTCGTTCTTGACTTGATGGTGGTACCAGAGAGGCATGTTCAATTTTTAATACCCTCTGTCCCATACCAGTGTTTAGTTGAGGCTGATTCACAATTTCTGGCTTGCTTTTGTTCTTGTTGTTAACTTAGAAATAGAAACTTTCAGTCTCTTAGTCCCACATCTCTTTTCTTGTGACAGTTCCAGGCATTGTGATTGATTAAGTGTCATGGAGGAAATCATCTCGGAAAGGAGTACAGGCATATGAAACTCTGTCTCAAGCACCTCCGTGATAGGAGGGAAAAAGGGAAATTTTAGGTTTTGCCAGAGATTTGAAAGATGCTTCACTAGTGATGCCAGCAGTGTCTGGGGCTCTAATATCTCTATTCCTTAGATACCAAGGAACATCACATTGTGTACTGCAAATTTCTCAGTGTGTGTGTTTGTGTGTGTATGTGTGTGTGTGTGTGTGTGTGTGTGTGTGTGTGTGTGTGTGTGTGGTGCTGGGGTCATACCTACAATCTTGAGCATGCTAGACAAACCCTCTATCACTGTAAATTTCTTTTATGGTAGCCTGGGATCAGTGATCATCAGGTAGGTAGGGCCAGTGGGGAGGGTGAGAAAAAGACTTATGTAGCAATTTTAAAACTCTAACTACCACAGAAAAGCAACCTGCAAATGGGCCCACCCCACAGGCCTGTGTAAACACCTGGGGGGTTTTTCCATGACTCTGAACAAGCATTATCCTCCAGGGGAAATCTCAGCAGACAGTATGTACAGGGAGCCTGATATTTCAGTCACATTCCTTGGTCACTTGCAAATTTCCTGTCTAACCACCTGAGTTCATGTCTCCATTTATTTGTCTTCATGATCTGGTCCTCTGCTGCTTGCCACCAGAGTCCCTGCTCATCCTGGAGAGGTACTGGGGTGACTAGCAACAGAGACTGCTGGATGACCAAAAGTACCCCACAGTTCTCCAGAAAGGATATCATTGCAATGAGAGGAGGTATGGGGAACTCTGCAGAAAGAGATCCTGTTGGAATACAGCATGTAGTAGAGATCTATGAGACCTGGGTGGATGGCTGAGCTCAGCATGCCAGTTCTGTCTTGAACACTGGAGAAGTCTGAGATCAGGGTAGGGCACTGCCCACCTCCCACCGTGCCTACCCCCTGTTCAACATAGGAATCGACCCCTTACTGAGAGGAAGAATCTAAGGACCTTCCCCTGAGCTGCTCTTGACCCCTCATAAAAGCAGGATTTCCCTGGGATTTCTGAGCAGTTTTCATTACCATTCCCTGAAGAAAAGAGGGGAGCTCCATTTTCCATTATTCCATCCTGGTTCTGAGTACTTTTGACAGGAGACCTATTGGGTTGGTTCAGATCTTGTCCTCTGTTCACATCATACTATTCTCCTTCCCTATTGAGTGGAGAGTAGGGAAGATACCTGGACAGTGGAAGGAAGGGCTCAGCTGAATCCCAAATGGTTCTGCTGTGCCGTGGTCGAAGGTGCTTCAGCACCCCGTGAATGGCCCATGTTCCTTACCCCGGGCCTAGGTGTGTGAGAGAAAGGGTGGGTTTGTGCAGTCAACAGATCCCAGACACCTCCAGAAGAAAAGGTATTATTTTGGATAGTGAAATGGGACATACTTCTAAAAGTACCCATGAACAGTTTACAGTTTAATAAAAGCAGACAGTTCATCTACTTACTACCCAAGTCAAGAAAAGAGCATTGATATTTCCAAGCCATTGTGTTTCTGTTCCTTTTTTTGTCTTATTTTTTAATATGAGTTAGGAGATGGTTAAAATGTGTGCTATCAGTTTCTCCATTTCTTTTAAATGAAGAAGACTAATTACTTCTTAGGGGTGGCATGCAGGCATTTGTGTATCCTGGGATTCTGAGTGATTCAGTAACTGTGGGGTATGGCCATCTGGGACCTTAACTGCATCTTGGGGTCCCACTCTCCTTCAGAATTGGTATGTTCAAGACTGAAGATACCTATAATCTGAGGGAGCTAGACCCTTGAGGTAGATTCCATCAGGGAGGTGGAATCCAGTGAGACCTAAAACCCAGGAAATGGAAACTTAGTACTTCTGTAAGGCAATGCCTTTGCCTACAGGTGAGCTCCCAGGTCATCCAGGACCAAACATTTGCAAGCAAATGTTTACTGAAGGACACCCTGGTTTCCAGTGCTTAGTGTACCAGACAGTGGAATGAGAAACACAGGTTAGACGGGAAGGGTACTTGGAGTGGTGGTAGGCATGTGAGATCATAAGAACTAAGTCCTTAGTGTCGTCCTTACCCTGTTACACCCCCCCTCCCCCTCTCTTTCTCCCTCTCCCTCCCATCAATGCTGGGAACCAGAGAACTGGGAGAATGCTGATGTTTCAGTTTTATCCCATGTCTACAAGGACTGAGGATCCTAAGGTCCAGGACTGCCCCCCACCCCTCCAACCTGCAGCAGTATTCAGAATAGCACTGTGTGGGGGCTCTGGAGGAGCTGGGACTGATGGGAAAGCATGTGGCAAGTGAAGCTCTCTGTTCTCCTGCCACATATTGGGTTATAGATTCCCTCCCAGCTGCCCTAGTTGCAATTCAGTGCTTACAGAATGTGCTTCTTTGTGTGTGTATATCTAACTGTGGCTTGGCTGCCAGTCACATTAAAAGACTGTCTTCCTCAACAAGGAGTTGAAACATTCAATGGGATGTGAAATTGGGGTGAGGTAAATTATATTATGGACAGAGAGAGACTCAGTAAATTTCAGAAAAGGTGGTGGTCTTACAGCCAACCCAGAATCATCAGGGTTCACTTTTCCTGTGAGACCTGAAAATCCCCATTGGCTAGGCTATCGTGTTTTTGGAACAAGACTGCATGCACAGGGGTCTGCTCTTGCCTGCCAAACACTGAAGGCTCTCAACATGTTAAGAAGTTAGAACCAAGCTGCTGGAGGAGAGCAGGTGGGTTTTAGATTTGATTTCTCAAACCAAACTACCAAAGGTTTCCTTGTTCCACCCAAGATAGTGAAATGTTATCCACTGCTAAAGATGAAGCTGACTACAAGGCCGTGAGTCCAGTTCAGCCCTCCCTGAACCACTTGTGAGGAGAGCAAGCACATTCTCCTTCCAAGCCAACACATTCTTGGCAGCTACTAAGACGATAGATGGGAGACAAGGGTTCAAGCCATAGCAGGAGAGATCTG